TATATATATATATATATATATATAGATATAGATATAGATATATAAATAATTCTAGGGTTTTATTTTTTTTTGGGTAGAACAAAAAAAAATCTACATGAACATGGAGTTCTTCAGAGAATTTAATGATATGAACTAGAATACGATTAATATTTAGAGGACAGAAAAACGAAGACATCTATTTGTTTCTCTGAGTGTTATAATTCTCATCATATGAAAGATTGTGTTGTAGGGAGGTTAAACATTCTCATTAATGATGGAGAGCAAAGACTGTTTTTTTCTGTACCTTGACTGAGAAATTTTGTTAATTATAAACTTCTGATTATAAATAAGATTGTCCTCAATAACACTCATCCACAAAGCCATTTTCAATGACTGCTTGTATAGCCAAGATTGCGTTGATCCAGAACAGATAAGCACAGGGTAGAGTATCCCCTGGATGGGATGCTAATCCACTGCAGAACACTTCACCCATTAAGGGCAATGAGTAATTTACTGCACGTCTTTAGACTATGGGAGAAAACCCATGAGAGCTGAATTCAAATTTGAACCAGAAACCATTTTTACCCTCCTATCCATTGTGGCACTCACCCTAACTTTTGGATTCTGTAGATGCTGCTTCCTCCAAAACATACTCTTAACTGGTTATTGGAACCAGTCAGTAAAAAATGAACAGATGTTAATTTATATTTTATCTTTAAACAAAGATAAAATATAAATTGTTATACAATAACATGAATTTTACTGCTGATATTACTGTAAAAATTGTGAGGTTTACTCCTATGAACTGAGTAACTTAACTGAATGGACATTTTTTATGAGTTCACAAAGTTTGTTTATTTGTTCTGTTTTTGTAGCAGCTTGTCGGTAACTCTGTGAAAGGCAGGTGCTTCTTAACAACTCTCCCTCTCTTTTGCTTCCTTCCTGGCTTTCAAGTGGAAGTGGTGGAGGTAAAGGGAAGTTTTACGTACCCATGTCCCTCGAACTTGAGAGTTCGTGAAGAATGCCTAACGAACATGCTGAGGTCCAACAGCAAACACCACGGAACACTCAGAACCAGCACACTCACCACCAGATGTCCCTTCACTCCAGCCATGCTTCCCTCATGCAGGGTTATGGGGCTAGAAGCAGAGGCGGTGGAGGTGGGAAAGGGTTGCAAGGTAGTCACTTGAGTGAAAATCCATACCAAAAAGAAGCCATTGATTATTATATGTCAGTGAGTGGAAAACAAAGTTCAAGGAGAGGGAGCCAAGGACTGGAATATGGGGTCAGTTTTGGATATTCGGATGTAGGTGGACAAGTGCCTCACCAATATCGACATGCTGGAAATGGTCCAGGGTCTTCTGTGATGTCTCACTATCAGCTGGACTACACTGCTTCAGCTGCCACTGGTGGAAATAGCAGTAGCAACAGTAGTAAAAGTGGTACTGGAGCCTTTTCTCCTACACATCAGTATTGCTTAAGTCAAAATCCCTCAGTCCAATCAACTCCTGGACACCAGATGCACCCACGCCAACAGGGTCAAGATTACTCTTCCCATCAACCCTTTCCACAAAGGCAGCAGCACAGAGGTTATCCTCTTTCTGGACATAGACCACTTCCCCAGTTCTCCCGGGTCCCTTTGTCTAATGCATCTGCAGAGTCAGCTAGGGCATACAATTTTCCTCCACAGAGGTATCTTAGTGGGGGTGCTACTAGCAATTTTGAGTGTGAAATTAGTAATTCAGGTAGTGGCAATTCAAAAACTGGCTCAAACCATGGTTCAGTTAAGCCAAGTAATATGGCACAGTTTGACAGCAGTCGGCTAAGCTATAGCTCTTCAAATTACCCAGCATATGATTTCCATACTTCTCAGTCACCTCATAAACAATCTGTTTACTCACATCGATACACCCAGAATAATTTGAAACCAGACTATGATTCATCCAATAAAATTATTTCCTCCAGTTTAACTTCCTGCTCACCTTACCCTAAATACCCTCAGGCTTCCACTGCATCCTCAAACTCCCACAATTCTTCAATGCCTCAGTACGTCTCCCAAGAGATACCCAAATCTGTAACTCAGAATCAGCAACCACAGGTCCATCCAAACTTCAGCCCAATTTCTAATCCATCTCCAGCTGCCTCAGGAATACAGTCACCCAACTGTAGCTCATCACCTTCTCCCCTGTTGGGTGCTTCTGAAGGTCTAGGAAACTCTGCTGTTAACCCCAGTGAATTGACATCAACTACTTCTATTCCAAATCGTCGAAACAGCCACAATCAGATATTGCGAGCGGCACCTCAGTTGAGTCCCACACCCAGCTCTAACAGCAGTGTTAGTAGTTTTGGGAGCAGCAGTGGTAATGTAAACACGATTGGCATAAATGCAAGTCCAAGTGGGAGTCATTCAGTATTGACTCAAAGCCAGTTGGGAAGAGGAAAGATATGTGATGAGAATTATTCTTCTCTGTACCCATCTTCTGTTGACAAGCTGACTCGGGATCCAGGGATCAACAGTCTAAATGCATTAACATCACAAGTGGCTAATATACCTAATACTGTCCAACATATGCTGCTTTCAGACTCTCTGATTTCAAAAAACAGAGGAAAAGATGAACCTGCATATGAAACTGGTGAACATTATCAAATGCTTCAGAATTCACATGGCCTGGCTGCCAATCAGGAAGGAAGTAAGACTATGAGTAACAGTTGTAGTGATAGTGCAACAAGGACTGTACGAATGGATATGGGGGGTGCTCAACCTGACAGTGGAATGAATGAGAGTACTGAAGTGGTGAAGCGGGAAGGAGAAGAAAACTCTTCAGGAGGAGGAGATAGCATGACTAGGCAAACAAGTGGAACTAGTACTGAGTCTGGCTACAACCATTCATCCCAGAATCTGGCAAAACAGGGTTTACCATTAGAATTAGTAGTTGGAGCATCCAAAATTAAGAGACAGACTTTGGCTTTTCCAAGAGGAAATGAGCATAGTATTCATAGTACATCTTCTTCTTCCCCATCTTCTCTACCTTCTTCAGTAGAACCCAGTCCAAATATACCTCCTCCCTGCACACTTTCTTCTTTTACTTCTACTTCTGTCAGTCCATCTCCAACACTCAAGTCCCCTAAGGAGCCTATTGTGAGAAGTATTGATCGAAGAAATTGTAACAAACTCCAGGAAAATTATGATGCTAATGGCAGAAAAAAGAAAAATCAAGCAGACCAGGATATCACAGTGACACTGGAAGGATCGAGAAGTGACATGCCGAGAATTGGGAATGACAAATTGGAGAGCCATGACAAGCGAAAAGCTGAAGAAGCACAGAAGGGCTCAACAACCCTAAGCGGAAAAGTGGAAGATTGTGAAAAAATTGTAAAAACACAAAACCTGGACAATCCTCATAAAATTTTGAAAACTGGAGAAACTCAAAACACAGGAGGAGTAGGAGTGATTGTCTCTACTCGTTCTGAAATGACTGAACATAATACTTTATTGGAATCTCCTCAAGGTGCTCCCTCTGCACCACAACATTTAGACAATGAATTGCAAAATTCACAAAATAGTACAGACAAGATTCATTCTTCCAATGCTTTCAAAGATGCCAGATGTGTCAATGGGCAAGGTGGGGGTAGTATTTGTACCCTCCCCTCAGTGAATGGAACCAACATTCCCCCTGAACCCAGTTATGAGCAGTCACCATCATGCCACCATTCCGGAAAGCAGAGGTCACCATATGGATACTCTGAACTTGTTGGCAGTATGATGGATTTAAAAAAGGCAGGCAGTATAGAAACAAGTACAGGGAAGGAAGCAAATTTAAGATATGAAAGTCAGCATCAGCCACCACTCAGTTATATCCCAGGACAAAAAAAGGGAATGGTGCCAACAGGCATAATGAAACTGGGAAGAAGAGGAACAATAAGAGATCAAGATATTAATCCTCCAGTGCAACAGTCATCTGCCAGTATTTTACAAGAAGTACTTCAAGGCTACCACACAGAAAAAACCTATGACCATACTAAAAACTCAGTCAACGTGCCCGACACACATCCCCAGTCTCAAAATATGGCTCATAATCTTTCAAGACATTCCTATGGTGTGAGTAAAAGCATGATGCCACGCAGTCTAGTCCCACAAACTGGGCTCAGCCAGGATCATCAAGCCTCACTTCCAGCAGCAGTTCCTGTGAAGGATTACCCTCTAAACCTTAAGCAGAGCAGTACTACTGGCATTGGACAGGATCCTCCTCCGACGTCTTGGGCTCCTGTTGGAATGGGAAGAGCACACGGTGAGTCTTCAGGGAAATCCAAAATGGCAACATCTCCAAATCGCCCTGCAGCTATTTTACCAGAAACCACTGAATCTTCTCAACAACCACCATTAAAAAACATTAATTTGGCAGACTATCTGCTACCGCATAGAATACCCTTCACAAACCCACAAACTTCGTCATCTGCCGTGCAGCAATTGTTGTTGCAGGATACCGAGCCAATAGGGGGCAGTGACCTACCTGTAAAAAAGCCTCCAATGGCTTCATCCTCATCATCTTCAGAGCGTTGTTCAGTAATCTGCGATGTATCTCTCCAGAGCACACCTGAAAAGGAAAAGGACAGACATGAAGACGAGGTAAAAGAGACTTGTAAGGAAACTGGTTACACTGGTGCTTCTGTAATTCAGCAATCACATTCTACTACTTTAGAAGGCCTGCAAGACAACAGTAAAGAGAACAAAAGTGAGGTGAAGATGGAAACTGAATGCAGTGCTTCAAAGGAGGTCTTTAGTCAGAATGATAATCCTACCCTTTATTGTGGACAATTACCAGAGAAGAAAAGTGCATTCCGACAGCAAAGCAGATCTCCATACACATCTGTGAACACAAGCACTGACAATCACAGTTTGTCCACTGGAGAGAATAGACATATAAATGTATCAAATGTCAACCCCTCTCATTTTCATCAAGCCCCCCGTACTCTTTCCTCTAACCTTAATCTTCAGGCATCACCTTCAACAAGATGTCAGTCAAACTATCCAGGGATAGATGGATGCGGTAGTCATTCAGGATATGGGTTTGAAAACTTCAGAGAGAGAAGCCATTTTCTTTCTCAGATCCCTCCTCAGCACGATATACCTTCCAAATTTCAGTTTGGAAACTCTCAGCCAAACAAAAAACTGCAAATGTATTCTCATTCTCACCCTCATCAGTACTCCCAGGATACAGACGACAAACGTGAATGGGAAGCCTTACACAAGAACAGGATATCAAAGGATATGATGGTGTCTAGTAGTTCAGGATCAAGTAGCCAGCAGTATCGCAGCCAAGCAGGGATGAGCTCCCAAGCCTCTCATAGTGACCCAGCGGGTCAGCCGAAATTACTCCACCAGCAATTCTCTCGGCAGGGTAGTTACTATGATATGAAAATATGGAACCTCTCACAATCTGGAAGAGAGGGTGGAGGGACCCTTGAATGCACCCAACCAGTCTTTCAAACAAATCAGACCGGTGTAGTTACTCCTGGGTCCGATACCTCAAGAGGAGTTACAGAAAAAGTCAAATCATTTCCATCAGTGCCAAGTTCTCAAAAACCATCTGCTCATGGTAGTTTTGCTGGTAGTACAGTTAACTTAGGGACTCAACAAGGTCGTAGTCCAGTGAAAACAGAGCGTGCTGGAGAAACTAACCCATTAATGATGAGAAGGAGGGTTCGTTCTTTCATATCCCCAATTCCAGCAAAGAGACAGCATCAAGATTTACCACAGCAACAACGGAGTACTCAGACCCTGTATCCTTCTCCTTTAAGTAACACTGCATCCAGACATCATGATACTGGTCCATCAAGTCCTGATGTGCCCCATTCCGGAATGGCCATTCCAGATGCTAATTGTAATAAGCTAGCTCAGAATATGATGCTAACATCTCCATCTTCTCAGGGTAAAACCAACATTTTACCACCTAGGAAAGGTCGTGGCTTGAAACTGGAAGCGATAGTGCAGAAAATAACACCCAATGTTAAAAACAATAGAAGTCTCACCGATTTTGCGTGTACTCCACTAACTGGATCTTCTCATACAGATCTAGTACATTACAACTCTGACAACCAAGAACAAGAGTCTTGCATTGGGGACAGTTTATCTGAATCTGTAACTGGACATGGAAGTTCTCATTCTTATCTGGATGAAGGTCTCTCATTGGAGGAAATTATGTCCTACAAGGGTGTTGAGGAGATTGGCCCCTTGGCTCCCACTGCCTACCCTTGTGACCTCCAACAGAACCCCCCTATTGTGAAATTTGGGACCTCAGGGAATATTAACCGGAGTGCGGTTGAGGATTTGAAGCAAGAAACCCATTTTAGTATAGAAGGTCATGGTCCTCAATTTACAGAAAAAGACAGTTCAGGAGAAGGCAAAGAAGAATTGAGGTTGTCCACTGATTTCACTCTTTTGGGACCTTTGCCACCTGCACCACCATTACCTTGTCCAGTACAAGCTTCTCCACCTCCATCATCTTCTGTTTTGTCTGATATTCAACAATTCACTAATACATACCAGCAACTAGAGACACGGAGAGGAGAGGACTCTGCAGAAAGCTTTTTGAGAAAGAAGTTAACAGATTCTGGGCTGGGATTAGGTTTAGATGATTATTCAAGCAGAGACTTTTATGGACCCAGCTCATTTCACCATAACCAGCATCAAAGACAGTGCCTGTTACCCAGACACCCAAATAGTCTTCAGATACACCAGCAAAGTCCTTTTGGTCAAACCTTATCTTCAATGTCAAATTCATCACAATTAAATGAACTGAAACCCCTTGAGACTGTTGTTCCTAAAGGTTATTTTCCATCTGGCAAGAAAAAGGGGCGGCCTGTTGGTAGCGTGAATAAACAGAAGCGTGCGCAAGTTCAATCCCAGAATGCGTCCATTAATGCTTCTCCTGTTATATCTACACCTATACAAATACCTGGCCCTACTGCGACTGCAGAGACTATTCCAAGTACCGTGACCACAACGCAAATTTCTGTACCCACTTCTGTAACGGACACTAAAGAATCATTTGAAGTGCCCTCTAATGCTTCTCAAATGTTGAATATGGATATAGAGAACAAGGATGTTCACCCCAAGGTTGAATTTGAACAAACTGACCAAGGACTATGCAAGGAAGATGACAGTCAAAGAGCAAAGTTAGAGGAAAAGCAGCAAAAGAGGAGAAGAAGAGTAGGTGGGCTGATGGGAAAAGAGATCCTCCAAGCCTGTGCAGGAACCGAAGAAAAATGTGCAACTGGAATTTTTCAAGATAACAGGAAATCTGTATTTTCACCTTACATTCACGTCGAGAGAAAACAGGAAATTGGTGCTGTGTGTACTATAGTGAATGAAGAACAAGAAAAGTCAAAGGGAGAGAAAAAAGAAGGTGTAAAGGCTGACAATCTCTTGAACTTACTTTCTTCTGAGATAAAAATGGATATAGATATTGAGGTAGTGAAGGAGAAAACAAAGATGGAACAAGTTGATTCTAGTCTTCTTCAGTCATGTACAGCAGGAAAGACGATTCCATTGTCTGGGTATGTGCTTTCAGGACCTGTAAGTACTGAGACAGGTAATTCTGGTCAACTGCTGTGTTGTTTATGCAAGAAGTGGGCAAATTACAAGAATCTAGGGGATCTTTATGGACCCTATTACCCTCCCGAATATGTGGCAAGCCTTCCTAAGAACCACCCTCAGATTCGAAATAGTTTAGGGACTGCCAAGCTTGGTAATAAAGGAGCAGATTTAGGAACATGTACAACGGAATCAACAAAACAGGATACACAACAAATAGAACCACAAATGTTAAAGCCTACATTAGATACTGTTTATGCAGGAAATGAAGCTGAAAAACAGTCTACTGTTACTACGACAAATGCAACCTCTACAGTGGATGGGGGAAGAGTTTTGGAAAACATTGATAATGTGTACAACAATATGGACCTGAACCAAAAAAGTGATCCGTTTCCAGAGTTGACAGATATTGTGAGTGCAGTGATGAAACAAGAACTGGAGCAACCGCAAGAACAGCAAAATCAGGACCAGTTGACAGAAGACACCCAGCCAAGACCACAACACAGAAAGCTCACCTCCCATCCACGCTTTAAAAGGCGACACAGACCCGGTGACGACTTGCCCAAGACTACCCAGAGTAATTTTAAAACCTCACTGCCATTCCAGCCACCTCCTCAGCTACTTAACCAAGACCCCTCTGAGCCCTTGGCGCATCTGGCTCAGCTTCCTGAAGTCCCACTGGACCATAATGAATTGTGGGTACATGAGGGATGCATAGCCTGGGCCAGTGGAGTGTTTCTGGTCAATGGACGTCTGTATGGCCTACAGGAGGCACTAGATGGCGCCATGGACACAGTGAGTTTTTCTTTTTTTTAAAATCAAGTTCCATTATAGTTTTAGTTCAGGTGTTGCTGCTGGTTGAATATTAATGCATCATATAAAATGCCATTTTAAAATGATGTCATATTCCTTTGCTTATATATTGCCCATTCATATGCTGTGTTAATTTTTAGTTTGTAATTTTTTTGTGCCCACATATCTATCTGTTTTTGCTTCTGCAGTTTCTGTGTAGATGCTTTCTAACTGCCTTTGTCTTCAACAGAGCTGCTCTTATTGTGAGCAAGTGGGTGCAGCACTTGGTTGCTATAGTAAGGGCTGTTCTCTAAGATGCCACTATGTGTGCGCAATAGCGGGTAAGAATCAGAAATGTAACAGAAATTTTGTCTCAGCTGTGAAATCGATCCTGTATTTTGATCCAGGAAAAGGCTGCACTAAGCACATTGTAATAATAGTAATGATTATATGTGTTGTACTAAATATTCGCTCTCATTCTAGACTGCTCCCTAAATGAAGAGAACTTTTCACTGCGATGTCCAAAGCACAAGGTAATTTGACACTTCACAAATTCGGCAAACTAGGGGAAAGACTGCATTCGAAATGGAAATACCAGAGAATTTTGAAGAATATATTCCTGTCCCAATCGTAAGACAGACAAGAAAAATGCTGCGTTGTTAAATAAGCATGTGTATGTACACATATGTGGTCAATTCAAAGAGTGGATGTCTGCTTCTTTAGTACATTCGCTGAAGCGAATTATAAAGCTGTATATCAGGAAGGTTCATGCGTGTAATTTGCCTGCCTCAGCATATTATGTTAATGTATTGTGTCTATTTTCCCTGGTTTCTCATTTGTCAATCCTGTCCAAATTATTGTCTGAAAACCTCTCATGTTCTCTGGATTCTGTCTTATTTCTTAGTTTTCCCAAAAAAATGCAGTAGAGAAGGGCGTCCTTTCAGAGCAGTCGGAAATGGGCTGAGTCAGTGGCTGTGGGACAGAGGCACCCTAGCAACTGAGATCGGTGAGCAAAGACAGACTGTGGGTGGGGCCTCGAATCGTCAGATTTAAACGACGTCATTTCAACTGTGTCCAGTGATGTCACTGAGCCACTCATGGTCATTTGTTTTTCCACTAATATTGTTTGTTAGTCTTAAGCGCTGAAGTCCGATTTTACCTGCATTATTTTAAAATCATACAAGTAAAATGTGTCAATTAACAAATTATGCTTTTTTGAAAGGTCCAAGAGAGAATCTTGTAACTGGTTGCTGTTTTTTTTTTTTTTTTTTATGAAAAAACCATCATGCCTAGATTAGATATTTGGGTTAGAGTAATTTATGTCGTTTGGGTTTCTCTTCATAGCCTGGCCGGACCTGAGAAAAAAGCCACTGACCTTTAATGACACCGAAAACACCGTGGTTAAACTTAAGAGAACAATCAAGAAGAACTAACCAATCAAGAAAAGAGACCACAGAGGACAGCAATGCCTGTTTGTTAAAAACCGAAGTGAAAAAAATGAAAGCTCAGTGGATTAATGTTCAGACCTTCTCGGAGGATGAATTGACTGAAACATTACATGTAAGAAAGGATGAAAAAAAGGGAAGACTTTGTTCCTCTCTGGCAAACTTTGAATGTGAAATATTTTGGAAATGAATCACTTTCTTTATTGTCCTTTTAATGTTATTTGTTATTTTTCAAAGTCCAAAATGTATTATTAGATAGAGTTAAGTGCAAGTGGACCATTCAAAATGAACTGCTTCACATAAAGGACTGAGGTTAACGCTTGGATTTTTACATTACGTGTGTTGCATCTATTATTCATATTATTATTATTATTCCTATATACAGCATTATTGTGATGCATATATTCATTTTTATGTTATCATCAGTATTTTGTAGTTGAATATAAATGAAAGCATTTAATTTTTATTGTTGTTTTTATCACATAAAAATGCCTTTTAAATAGAAATGACATTTCAGTATTGCCGTACCACCTCTTCTGAAGAGGACACAAGCTTGGAGTTTCCACAGAGACATCAAGGCCTTTGCTTTCGCATCACTCACAATCTCCGCGCGTGTGCGTGTGCGTGCTTGCGTGTGCACATCTGTCTGTCTACCTTTTCCATCATTGGTAGTAGATTATTGCTTCTCATCTTTGGGATTTCACAGTGCAAAATGGTGTACCTATGAATAAAATAAAAATAGTGTTATTTTTCAAGCAAGGCAGGACTAAGGAAGTCTTGTTCTCAGAAATAAGCCAGCAACAGTATTGATATCATCTTTGGCTTTAGTGAACGAGATACGATTTTGTGAAACGGTAAACAGCAGATGGATGTTCTAGAACAAGGTCTTTATTTTTCTGCTCTGAATGTATTTAATATCCAAAAATACAGGGAGATGCTAAGAGACAGAGTGTGAAAGGATCCATATAAAATTGTTAAAAAGTAAATGGTATTATATTTAATACTATTTTTTCTACTCTGGTTAAAAAAAGGGAAAATATTGACGTATTACATTACAAACCTGTCAATATGACTGATAAACACATAAGACGAAAACAATGTTCTTTTTTTCTTTAAACATTTCTTTGTGTCCCATTGTCTTTATTAAAAGATCATGTAGGTACTCGTGCTGCTACTGAAGTCCTGGCTATCTAACTTGTATCTGTAAGTTTTACATGCTGGAATATGTGCTGATGACCTTCAAATGTGCAGAAGAGAAAAAGTTTTGGTGGAGGCTGGGCCTGTTACGGATCATAGCAGACAGGAACTCTGTCTGGTTCTTTGTAGTGCAGACCTCTACGGTATTTTTATGCAGTGAAAAAAGACATTTCAACCAGCTTATCAGCTAGTGCCAATGTCACAAGAAAATGGCCGAAATATTTACTCTGCTGTGTTCTGCAAATTGGACACTGATTTTACTTATTTGGTTACTTTGTCAGATTGGCTGCTGTCGCTGCTGATGTTCTGCATTAGTAGTTCTGCTGTTGGTTAGCCTTTTGTCTCATTCTGTTGACCGTGTTCTGTTCAAAATGGTGAGTCGTGGCTGTTGTACTGTTTTTCTTTCTGACATCGCTGCTTTATAAATGGTGACGCTTTGAGATCAGTACAGTTTTACATGTGTGTGGTGCTCTGCATTCCCAACGGCTGTGAGGTAAGGCTTCGTGTGTTTCAGCGGTTCTCCCTTGGACCATACCACTGTGATGGATAGTGGGGGGGATCTTGCAACCTATAACTGGTGGGAGCAGGATATGAACAGTCCATGAAGGGCATTTTAATATGTTGCATTGAATATTACTGTAAGCACTGTGCTTCTAACCTTTAATCTTATCTTTACAGTCTTATCTTTGAAATAACAAGGTTTGGAAATTCTGATTGAGATTTTTGCAGATTTCTCTCTGTTTTTTTGAATCACTGTCTGCCTTTCGACTTCCAGTTTTCTAATTACAGCTTTTTAATGTTATTTTTGTCTCCCTCTCGTGGTGTTTAGATGTCAGCAAAAATGCCTCTGTGTTACTGTTTATCACCGTAGTTCTCCTTTGACTTATATAAAATATAATTACTCTGTGTGTGTGTGTGTCTGTGTGTGTGTGTCTGTGTGTGTGTCTGTGTGTGTGTGTCTG